ATATATATATATATATATATATATATATATATATATATATATATATATATATATATATATATATATATATATATATATATTAAGATGAAAATGTTCTAGAGTGTGTATTATATAATTTCCATACCCAGCGCAAGCAGAAAATAATAATACACACTCTAGAACATTTTCATCTTAACATTTTACGGAGTGTACAATTACATAACTTAGCATATATATATATATATATATATATATATATATATATATATATATATATATATATATATATATATATATATATATATATATATATATATACATATATTTCAAAAACTCATTAATAATTCATGAAGCAATTATCCAATCTTGAGTAAGAAATTAATCACGTGCATACGTCTTTGTACCTGCTAAAGAACACTTCAACAAAAGACTATTGTTATGCAAACTATAAAAAAGATTTTTATATAAAGATTTTTATATAAAGATTTTTATATAAAAGAAAGAATTTACCTAAAATGACAACCACAAATTTTCGAAGAACGTCTGCTGCAATATTTTTAAAGTCGTTTGAATTAAATTTGACTAGTATACCTCGCAGTAAAGATTGACAAATTATAAACCTGCGTTGACAAACTGGATACTGCAGTGAGACAATATAATGCATGTTTGTTATATAATATACCGCCGCAGGGCCTCTTTTAAGGATGTGTAACTGGGGGGTGGGGGGGGACATATATAGCAGGGGACCTCGAGAAGTTCCAGTCGGCAAGTCTGTATCACAGCAGCTATCAGCATATACATACATGGTTTAACTAATAAGTATACGTTATAGGGCAGGCGATCACACAGTAACTAGGATTCCGAGACAACCGAGTCGACCACCAAAGGTGCGAGCCTCTAGAGGGGTCTGGGGGCATGCCCCCCCCCATTTTGAATTCTCGAAGCTCAGATAAGCTATTTCCAGCATTTTGAAGAGTTTTTCAACAAGAAATTAACCTTATAAACAATGACACAATTACTGCAATTCACAGTCTCCCAAATGTAATGAATGGTGTGATGATGCGGTAATGAAAATGTGCGTGGTACAGTATTATCATTCACCACACTTCAAATTTTACGATATTGTATTACATGTATTGGGGTACTTGAAATTGTCGCATTCGTCTTCTTGGTGTCACTGAAGGGCAAGATACGGTGGTCTCTGTGGAGTATCTTTACTTCGAAAAACTAAACATTGTCCTAAAATGCCATTTCATGCCTTTTTCCACGAGCAAATTATTTCAGTCATGGTTTAGGTTTCTGACGATGTTTAAATTTAAGTCCCAATGCAAATTCTGGCCTACGGAGTCAACGGACTTGGTTGGCCCATAGCTAGTTATGGGCCTGCAGATGATGGTCAAATTCAGAAATGCTAACAACTTAACATCATTTTCTCACTTTGATACATAATTGCTGGTTGACCACCTACTGCAGGTAGTTCTTAGGTACCTCACTGGGGGGGGGGGTATTTCTGGGTGGAAGGGCCCCAGTCTATATGTTAAAAGAGGCCCTGAATATACGGTGTTTCTGATTGGCGAATCCGCCATTATGCATGATAATCACACATGTGCGATTATCGTGTTTTGACTCACCAAACAAAACACAGGATTAAGAGCCGTGGCGGGTAAAAGAGGTTCGTAGTATATAAAATAGGCAAAAATACATGAATGCTAGGAAATCGATGGAATTTATCTGTCTCGCTGCGCTCACTCGTTCGATATCTTTCTCAACCCTCGAAGTAAATTTATTTTTTGCGGTCTGGTATCCATGCTTTTTAGCCAATCAAATTGCTTCGTTTGTGGTCCGGTTTTTCACGATACGGACCGCTCAACCGGACCGCTGCGGATTTTAAACTTAAAGTAAACAAAAAAATTATACTTTCTACTGTTTGCAATTAAGAAGAAAAAATATGTATAGCGATGACGAAAGCCACAGGAAAACAACGAAATTTCGAATGAAGGCAAGTTTTTTTAACTCCAAAAACGATGAAGAAAACAACGGTGCCACAAAAAGTTGAGTTTGCGCCTGACTGAAAAGTTGAGTTCGAAGTTATACTGTATGGAGAGAATTGTCGATTATATTATTAATAAAAGATAAGCTGTCAGGTAAAATTAGTTCTTCGAAAATTTTTGGTTGTCATTTTACCGGGAACTTCTTTCTTATATTTATTCAGTTTTATAGGCAAATTGCATGTGTTTGGAATGCCAATGGTCTTGCAAACAACGAATTCGATTAAAATTGCCCATTTCAGCGTTGTATCTCCATTTCAGCGTTTTATCCCAATTTCAGCGTCTTATTCCCCATTTCAGCGTTTTATCCCCATTTCATCGTTTTATCCCCATTTCAGCGTTTAATCCCATTTCAGCGTTTTATCCCCATTTCAGCGTTTTATCCCCATTTCAGCGTTTTATCCCGTATTCAGCGTTTTATCCCCATTTCAGCGTTTTATCCCCATTTCAGCGTTTTATCCCTATTTCAGTTTTCGCTTTCAGTTTCCGTTTCCGCGATTCAATTTCAGCGTTTTATCCCTACCCGTTTCAGTTGTATGTCTTTTCACACGGAACAGAAATGCAAACTTGTAAAGAAAAATGGTGGTGTTTATGGATATCTGAGGTATGCCATAACATAAAAGTATCTCTTTTGAATGAAAAAAACAACAAAAATATCACATCCAAAATGTTTTTTATCTCTTTACATAAAATAAGCAAAATGGGTAAAATATTAGCAATATTCGCCATTTTTTTACAGGCGGTTGTATTCAATGGGGCCAACAAACAGCATTTTGGATTTGAATGTTACTTTTTTGTTATTTTTAAGTTGAAGAAATATAAAACTTACTAAAAATAAAACTTATAGGATAATGGCAATTAGTCAACAGAATTTCTGAGCCCTATCAGCACAGCCCTGGTCATATCAACATGAATAAACCCCGGTAAACTTATTGTTTTATGATGGAGTATGAAACATTGAGACTATTATCTTGATGGGTACCAAATATTATCTGACAATTTTGAGGGTTATGAAATTTTTTTCGCAAAATTAAAAATATTCTCTGCCCCGGAGTAGCACTTACTTCATGACCGCTCCCTTATTGAAATCACAACTTCCTTGTATGGGGATTGGTGTATAGTGAAAAAATCTAGACACACACCTCTCATTTGGCGAAGAATCAGGTCATTTGCCGACCTTAAACGAAAAAAGGACAATGCAAATTTCAGTTTTCAATAAAATTCAAATTTTCATGAGTTAATCCAAAATGCCAAGTTCTTGGACTGACTGCCACCAACCTCCCTGCTGCCACTGATATGGGCTTTTTATCTCTGCTCAGCATATTTCATTACTAAGCTAACCTTTTTCTTCAAACGGTAAAAAATGAAGTGCAGATGAAAGATGTGAATACCTAGGTATCCCCGTTCTCATTCTATGCTGTAGTTCTGTATAAAACTATATGTGCAGTCAATCACATTAAATCCTGATGATAAGAGTCTAGATATACAGTGTTGCATATAATCACTGTGTCGGCCGTGTAGGATGTGCATAACTTTCTTACCTGACACACTCGTGCCAAATGACCTCATTCGTCGCTCCAAAGTTATTTTACGTACACCCATCATATACTGCTTACTTCGCTAACTTTGAAACCTTGTTCCAATAAAAAATTCACTTGCCCCTCGTGTAGGCCTATATCATACGAAGGTTTTCCACGGCGTAAACTTGTGCTGGAAATGCAGACTTATTCATGGCGGAATAGCGCTGTCGCTGCTCATATTGGTTCAAATTTTTGCAAACCCTATCCAGCAATTCCAAAGTGCATGATGTCGTCGATTCTAATATTTACAAGATATCTCTTTAAAACGTCAAATCGTATTGCCATTCTCTCTACACAATCTGGGTCACCAAGGCTAGCTGTCTAATCGCGATATTATATTCTTTTAAGGATATAATATCGCGATTAGACAGCTAGCCTTGGTGACATTTTTAAAATAATGTCCAGTGCACCAACTATTTGATTTTCATCATTCCGCTTGTTCGTAGCCACAATATAGGCCTAGGAATATGCCAGGGGGGAAGTTTAACGAAGCGTTAATTAATATTGGCGGATATTTAACGCGGTGCTATATAAACGGCCAATATTCACTTCTCAAATTCATGTAGTGATGCGTTTTCAACCTGTTTTGAAACAACATTGTCATTGAAAATTACTTCAATATCTATACTTCAATGTTGTATTTCACTTAAATTTGACATGTTCAGTATCCAAATTACCATCAATGAGGGAAACATGTTGAAATTGAAGCAATGTTCAATTAAAGTGACATGCTGAATTTAATATGTTCAATGTCGAAATTCACTTCAAAGACGGAAACATGTTGGATTAATATCAACATGAATATTGGCGCATAGAAATATGCCAGAGGGGAAGTTTAACGAAGCGTTAATTAGTATTGGCGGATATTTAACGCAGCGCTATATAACCGCCAATATTCACTTTTCAAATTCATGTAGTGATGCGTTTTCAACCTGTTTTGAAACTTAAACATTGAAAATTACTTCTATATATATACTTCAATATTGTATTTCACTTAAATTTGACATGTTCAATATTCAAATTAACATCAATGGACAATGAGGGAAACATGTTGAAATTGAAGCAATGTTGGATTAAAGTGGCGGCTGAATTTGATATATTTCGTGTCGAAATTCAATTCAATACGGAAACATGTTGAATTAATATCGATCAACATGAATATTGGAGGAAATCTGACGCCATATATTTGAGGTGTAGGAGGTTTGAACAACCAATTTCTACATGGCACTTTTGACAGCAGCTTGAATTGTGCTAATTAACAATTAGAAGGCGAAGCCGAGTTGACTATATTCGCTCATTAAGAGGCGAAGCCGAGTTGACTATATTCGCTCAGACACAACGAGGCTGAGTTGTCTAATTGTTTTAGTATAAACCACAAAAAAGGAAACGGATTTTAATTTTCACTTGATTTTTATGTAAAATAGTAACTTTTTAACGAAATGAGCTTTAAATGGCTTCCTTTGGCGACATTTCGCCTCGGCTTTGTTGACAACTACTCAGTGTTGCGAACTTCCAAGAATGACTTGAAAAATACAACTTGTGAGTTTTAAATAAGTTAAAAAACATGTCGTAAACCAGTATAATAGTAATTAGAGACTGTTATTCAAGCAAAGTTTGGTTAAAAGAAGGAAACAAGGCTTAATTAAAAAGTCCAAAATTTCGAACACAAAATGGCTTCCCGAATTGTTACAAAATTAGTAAATAAAGTTTCAAGTTAAAAAGCCGAACAAAATGAACACAAAAAAGAATCCGATTATCCGAATGTCGTTGAAATCTTTAAAATATCTGGAACTGAAGAGGCCAACCATTTCCAGAATCTAGTATACATGGACAATAGTTTAGATCAAATTTAGTCGAAAAACTCGACTTAAAAAGGCTCGAAAAGCCAAAATTTCAACATTTAAACGAAAAAACTCTTTAATTAAAATGATAGCTAAATACATGAATTCGTTACTAGACTAGACTAATTATTCAGCAAACCTAACAACCCTGTTTCCTGGAGGAGCCAATATATCCGTTCAGGATTTGAATGGAATCTTTATACAGAATTTCATGCACTGTGGGCACAAGTATGTGCATACTATACGAAAGTAAATTTGCCTGCCAGAGACAACAAGTGTCGATTAATGCATACAATTATACAAATCACTATGCGATACGCGACATATTGTTATTTTGTATTTTCGGCCGGTTTATTTTACTTTATATGATATCAAAAGATCACTATAATATGATTAATATTTAAGATCATAGAGAATCAAAAGAACATTAAGAATCAAAAGCGTATTTATCGTGATTTTTTCCGTTATAAGCTACAATTTTGGTCAAACCCTTGAGACCATTCCAGCTAATATTACAAAGTTATTGAACATTGACAAAACAAACTTTGTCTCCCCACCCCGGCAGTTCAATGTTGTGAACAACGCCGAAACAACTTTGGTAATATACCATGACACAAGTTCAACATTGAGTTGGGGGGAGCTTGGGCTTAAGAAGGGCAACATGATTCAACATGGGGTTTATCATAAAAATCTTTGAATATTCTATGGGGGGGAAATAGTCTCAACCAATTATGTCCAAGATTGTAGCTTAATCTTATAAGCTATTAAGCGAGGGTTTTAGTATATGCGAATCGGAAATGGCATGACCAAAACTTTCTGAACGAACAAATACTGGACATGAGCGAGTGACCATTCAGTTCAATCAAAATCCAGTGTTTCTTGTATAAAATAATGTAACTGGTCATCTTCTTTACAATAAGCATAACCAAGAAATATAACACGTGCAAACAAGGATCTGTCGTAAACTGGGCGAATGTTCATATTTTTTTGGAAATTGTTTGATTATGCCTAGCATGGCTAGCATGACCTCTAGCTTCGCCACTTTTCCTGTCGTAAGCCCATGGTTGCATGTTTCGAAGCTGCACTTGTTAGGTCTAAAATATGTATACAAATTTTCGCTCGAAAATTCCATCTACTAAACTAACTTTTCTACAGACTGACAAACATTCAATCACAACGTCCAGCTTTATATGCATGATCGCGACTGCTACAACGCAAATGCATCAGGGAAACCAAGCTTTAGTACAAGTCATAACTGCTACATGAATTTGTTTAGTCTGATATTACATATAATCATTCATATTCGTCAAAACTCACATTTACCTGGAAAGCCTTGCTTGAAAAAATATTTTGCTTTTACCTCCAACGACTTCAGCAGCTTCTGATCAATTCGAAGACAGGCACCCACTCTTATGACCTCCTACCCCGCAATAGACCCGATGGCTCTGGAAACGAAGATGTCGTCATGTATATTCGACGCAGGAAGTCGTTCAGACCACATGCAGGCTCATTTTCCCAGGAAATGGCTATTTTAAACCTATTTTAATCCGTGCTTCACCGTTTCAGAAAAATCTATTAAAATAGGCTATTTTTTGTTTCAAAAAAACCTATTTATAATAGCTACAAAATACAATTAAAACAGAGTTCTAATAGGTTTAATATAGGATTTGAATATGTGATAGCAATATGATAGGGTTAAAAATAAAATAGCTTTTCTATAGGAATAAAATAGAAAGTAAAATAGGGATAAAATAGGGTTAAAATAGTGTTGATTTTCGCAAGGGCCTGCTGCCACTGACATGGGCTTTTTATCTCTGCTCAGCATATTTCATTACTAAGCTAACCTTTTTCTTCAAACGGTAAAAAATGAAGTGCTGATGAAAGATGTGAATACCTAGGTATTCCCGTTCTCATTCAATGCTGTAGTTCTGTATAAAACTATATGTGCAGTCAATCACGTTAAATCCTGATGATAATTAGAGACTATATATACAGTGTTGCATATAATCACTGTGTCGGCCGTGTAGGATGTGCATAACTTTCTTACCTGACACACTCGTGCCAAATGACCTCATTCGTCGCTCCAAAGTTATTTTACGTACACCCATCATATACTGCTTACTTCGCTAACTTTGAAACCTTGTTCCAATAAAAAATTCAGTTGCCCCTCGTGTAGGCCTATATCATACGAAGGTTTTCCACGGCGTAAACTTGTGCTGGAAATGCAGACTTATTCATGGCTGAATAGCGCTATCGCTGCTCATATTGGTTCAAATTTTTGCAAACCCTATCCAGCAATTCCAAAGTGCATGATGTCGTCGATTCTAATATTTACAAGATATCTTTTTAAAACGTCAAATCGTATTGCCATTCTCT